ATATTCATTGTGGGCTTTCCATAGATGGCTTTTATGATATGGAGGTATGTTCCCTCTATCCCTAAACTTTGAAGAGTTTTAGTCAGGAAAGTGTGCTGTGTCTTGTCAAATGCTTTTTCTGCATCGAGTAAGAGGATCATATGGTTCTTGCCTTTTCTTTTATTAATGTGATCTATCATGTTGATTGATTTGTGAATGTTGAACCACCCTTGCATTCCAGGAATAAATCCCACTTGGTCATGGTGAATAATCCTTTTAATGCACTGTGGGATCCTATTGCCTAGTATTTTGGTGAGAATATTGGTCTCTAATTCTCTTTCTTGGCATGATCTTTGTTTGATTTTGGGATCAAGATAATGCTGGCCTTATAGAACGTGTTTCAAATTTTTCTTCCCAATTCTATTTTTTAAAACAAGTTCAGTAGAATAGGTATTATTTCCTCTTTAAATGTTTGATAGAATTCCTCTGGGAAACCATCTGGTCCTGGACTTTTGTTTTTTGGGAGATTTTTGAATACTGTTTCAATGTCCTTTCCGATTATGCATCTGTTCAGGTTTTCTATTTCTTCTTGTTTCAGTTTTCATAGTTTATAAGTTTCCAGATTGCCTAATTTGTTGGCATATAGTTACTCATAATATGTTATTATTATTGTTTGTATTTCCTTGGTGTTGGTCATGATCTCTCCCCTTTTATTCATGATTTTATTAATTTGGGTCCTTTCTATTTTCTTTTGGAGAAGTCTGACTAGAGGTTTATCTATCTTCTTAATTCGTTCAAAAAACAGCTTCTAGTTTCGTTGATCTGTTCTGCTGTTCTTCTGGTTTCTATTTAATTGATTTCTGCTCTAATATTTATTATTTCTCTTCTCCTGTTCAGTTTAGGCTTTATTTGCTGTTCTTTCTCCCACTCCTTTAGGTGTAAGATTAGCTTGTGTATTTGAGACTTTTCTAGTTTCTTGAGAAAGGCTTGTATTCCAATGTACTTCTCTCTTAGACTGCCTTTGCTGCATCCCAAAGGTTTTAAATAGTTGTGTTTTCATTTTCATTTGTTTCCATGAATTTTTTAAAATTCTTCTTTAATTTTCTGGTTGACCTATTCATTCTTTATTAGGATGCTTTTTAACCTCCAAGTGTTTCAGTTCCTTCCAAATTTCCTCTTGTGATTGAGTTCAAGTTTCAAAGCATTGTGGTCTGAACATATGCAGGGAATAATCTCAATCTTTTGGTACTGGTTGAGACCTGATTTGTGACCCAGTATGTGATATATTCTGGAGAAAGTTCAATGTGCACTCGAGAAGAATGAGTATTCTGTTGTTTAAAGAGGGAATGTTCTGTATATTTTATCTTTGACATCCATCTGATACAGTGTGTCTTTCAAAGCCCTTGTTTCCTTGTTGATCTTCTGCTTAAATGATCTGTCCATTTCTGTGAGTTGGATGTTGAAGTCCCCTACTATTTATGTATTATTATCAATGTGTTTATTTACTTTGGCTCTTAATTGGTTTATATAATTGGCTGCTCCCATGTTGGGGGCATAAATATTTACAATTGTTATATCTTCTTGTTGGATAGACCCTTTAAGTATGATATAGTGTCCCTCTACATCTCTTACTGCATTTTTTGGTTTAAAATCTAATTTTTCTGATATGTGGATTGTTACCCTTGCTTTCTCTTGAGGTCCATTAGTTGGTAAATTTTTCTCCACCCCCTCACTTTCAGTCTGGAGGTGTCTTTAGGTGTAAAATGAATCTCTTGTAGAGAACATATTGATGGGTCTTGCTTTTTTATCCAATCTGTTACTCTGTACCTTTTGATGGGAGTATTCAGCCCATTTACATCCAGAGTAACTATTGGAAGATATGAATTTAGCGCAATTGTATTGGCTATAATGTCCCTCTTTCTGTGATTTTCTCTATTTCTCTCTGGTCTATGTTACTCTTGGGCTCTTTCTTTGGTTACAGGATCCCCCTTAATATTTCTTGCAGTGCTGGCTTAGTGGTCACATATTCTTTCAGTTTCTGTCTTTACTGGAAGCTCTTTATCTCTCCTTGCATTCTGAATGACAGTCTTGCTGTGTATGTATTCTTGGCTTCATATTTTTCTCATTTAGTATCTGAATATATCATGACAGCCCTTTCTGGCTTACCAGGTTTCTGTGGATAGGTCTGATGTTAATCTGATGTCCCTCCATCTGTAGGTAAGGAGCCTTTTGTCTCAAGCTGCTTTCAGGATTTTCTCTCTCTCTAAAATTTGTAAGCTTCACTATTATGTTGGGGTGTTGACATATTTTTATTGATTTTGGGAGGCATCCTCTCTACCTCTTTGACTTGAATGCTTGTTTCCTTTCCCAGATTAGGGAAGTTCTCAGCCATTATTTGCTCAAATATACCTTCTGGCTCTTTCTTTCTCTCTTTCTTCACCCTCAGGCACCCCGGTAATTCTGACATTGGTATGTTTCATGGCATTATTAATTTCTTGAATCCTTTTCTCATGAGCTATTACTTGTTTTTCTTTACTTTCCTCAACTTCCTTTCTTTTCTTAAGCCTGTCTTCTAGATCACTTTCTCTTCTGCTTCATTAACCCTAGCTGTTAAAGTATCTAATTTAGACTGCATCTCAGTGCATATTTTTAAAAAGATCTTTATTCATTTTATTTGAGAGAGAGAGAGCATGAGCACAATTTGGGGGAAGAGCAGAAGGAAAGGGAGAAGCAGACTTCCTGCTGAGCAGGGAGCCTGATGTGGGGCTCAGTCCCAGGACTCCAGGATCATGACCTGAGCCAAAAGCAGATGCTTAACCGACTGAGCCACCCAGGCACCCCACAGTTAGTGCATTTTACATTTCAGCCTGATTAGATCTCATTTGTTCACTAAGAGATTCTCTACTGTCTTTTATGCTTTTTTCAAGCCCAGGTATTAACTTTATTATTGTTATCCTGAATTCCATCTCTGACTTTTTACTTATATCCATATCAATTGGATCTGTGGCAGAGAACATTACCTCTTGTTCTTTCTTTTGTTGTGAATTCCTCCTTCTAGTGATCTTGCCCAGAGAAGAATGGATGAGCTCATGAACTGAATCAAAAATATCAACCACATTCCAAGCAAAATACACACTAGACAAATCTGAAGCAGTCAGAAACCAAAACAGATAAGTAAAATAAAACAAAACAACAGAAAGGGCGGGGGAAGAATATAATCTCACAGGGTGGACAAAACACAATGATCCACTTGTTCCTGAGTGAATTTTGGTCTCTGTGTTAGAATACTCTAAATCCCAAAATTGCAAAGAAAGCAAAACTTACATATTTACAAAATTAAAATTGAATAAAGTGACAAAAGGCCAGAATGAAACATATACCTAAAAAATATAGATGTAAAAAATAAATGTTAAAAAGCAACTTAAAAACAAATCATTGATAAAATAAGAAACTAGTTGAAAAGGGAAAAAAAGGAAAAGAAAAATTTTGGACTGAAAGATAAATGAATCATGAGAAAAAAAAACCTCGAGTTCTATATACTATATTCCCCTAGCCCTGGAGTTTTACAGTTTTATGGGATCCATAAGCAAGTTGTGCACCTGTTCTTCCAATTGGTCTTCTGAGGGAGGAGCCTGCTATGCTGCTTCTTAGGTGTCTTTGCCTATGCAGAGTTGCACCTCCTCTTGCCAGGGGGCTGGTCCTCTGTGTGGCTTTTGTTCCCTGAAGGCTTTCCATGCCTCTTTAGATGATCAAAATAAAGATGGCCCTGGGCTGACCTCCAGCTCCAGAGCCAAAAGTTCACAGTCCTCCCTCTTCAGTAAAACCTCTGGGATCAACAGTGTTCACTTTGGTGTGTACTAAACTCCAAAGACTCTTTCAGTGTGTGCCCACAGTGATCCTCCTGGGGGGAAATATGAGGGTCCTGTGTTACTGCCCTTTGTTGTGCCCTGACGCTGAGAGTGGTCACAGGATCATGCATGTACCTGCTCCACCGCTCCTGGGGGATGGCTGAGTGTCACCATACTGTCCTTTATGGGCCTGCCACCCTGAAACTATTGCCTGGTTGTGGGTACACCCGTTCTGCCCCTCCTGGAGGATGACAGTGGTCTGCACAGTCCAGTCCTTTGCAGGGTTCCCAGGCAGCAAGTGGTCGCTTGATGGCCTAGTTTGCAGTTTATGGTGGCCAGAGCTAGGAGTCCCCTCCTGGGCTCACTGACCATAACCAGTTTCCCCACTCCACTGCTTGGGCATTCTATTGGCTCAGGCATCCCCATTAGTTCTGTGACTTCTAGGATCCTGAGACCACATTGACCCACCTAGAATTCTGTCCTTTCCATCCCCTGAGCCCCTTCAGACAGGAATGTCTCTCACTGGAGCAGATTTCTAAGGGTTCTGAATTTATCCTCCAAGGCTGTATCACTTCCTGGTAGCCAGCTTATGGAGGCTCCCTCTCCCCTCTGTTTATCTCTTGATATCTCCCCTCAGATTCACATCTCCACACCTCCCACCTTGCAAAAAGCAGTGGATTTTCTAACTGTAGAGTTCCAGATATTTTTTTTCTTACATCTCAGGCTGAGTTCATGGGTGTTCAGAGTAGTTTGATAGTTATCTAGTTAAATTCAAGGGTCCAGAGGAAATGAGGTACCCTACTCTACTGCCATCTTGCCTCAGTTAATTCACTCATAACTGAATTCACCATGTGAAACACTGACAACTCTTTATACTTTTTCCTTTTGTAGACTTTAATACTTTATATAAGTGAGTTACACTTATTACCATAAAATGCCATGAACTGAAAAGCTCTCAGACCATCTTAAAGCACAACTCTCTAATTTTGCAAATGCATGGAGATGTTAAGCAACTTGTTTGTGGTCACAATACTAGTTACAGACAGATTTGGGACTTAGAACTTAAGTCTTCTGACACCTATTTCTGAGCTGATCCTCTGTCGTGTGGCTTCAACAGATTGAACACTGGTCTCATTACATAAGTTAAAATATGTTTCATTGTATGTTTTCTAGGGTCAAAGTATTTTTGGACTTGATGTCATTGAAACACCAGAAGGGGACAAGATGCCACAACTGATTGTTCAAAAGGAGTTAGATAGGGAAGAGAAGGATACATATATAATGAAAGTAAAGGTTGAAGATGGTGGCTTTCCTCAAAGATCAAGTACTGCTATTTTGCAAATAATTGTTGCTGACACAAATGACAACAGCCCAGTCTTCAAGGAGGATGGGATTGAAGTCAATATACCAGAAAATTCTCCTGTAGGTACTTCAGTGACACAACTCCATGCCACAGATGCTGACATAGGTGAAAATGCCAAGATTCACTTCTATTTCAGCAATCTAGTCTCCAACATCGCCAAGAGGCTATTTCACCTCAACACCACCACTGGACTTATCACAATCAAACAACCACTGGATAGGGAGGAATCACCAAACCACAAGTTACTGGTTTTGGCAAGTGATGGTGGATTGATGCCAGCAAGAGCAATGGTTCTAGTAAATGTTACAGATATCAATGATAATGCCCCATCAATTGACATAAGATACATCATTAATCCAATCAATGGCACTGTGGTTCTTTCAGAAAATGCTCCACTTAACACCAAAATTGCTCTCATAACTGTGACAGATAAAGATGCTGACCATAATGGCATGGTGACATGCTTCACAGATCATGAAGTCCCTTTCAGATTAAGGCCAGTATTCAGTAATCAGTTCCTCCTGGAGACTGCTGCATATCTTGACTATGAGTCCACAAGAGAATATGCCATTAAAATACTAGCTGCAGATGCTGGCAAACCTCCTTTGAATCAATCATCCATGCTCCTTGTCAAAGTGAAGGATGAAAATGACAATGCTCCTGCTTTCACCCAGCCTTTCATAAGTCTTTCTCTTCCTGAGAATAACTCTCCTGGCACCAAGTTGACAAAAATAAGTGCAATGGATGCGGACAGTGGGCACAATGCTGAGATCAATTATCTGCTAGGTGTTGATGCTCCATCTGAATTCAACCTAGATCGTCATACAGGCATTCTGACTGCAGTGAAGAAACTGGATAGAGAAAAACGGGAAAAATATTCCTTCACAGTTCTGGCAAAAGATAATGGGATGCCATCCTTAATAACCAATGCCACAGTTTTAGTGACCATTCTTGATCAGAATGACAACAGTCCAATTTTTACTCACAATGAGTACAACTTCTATGTTCCAGAAAGCCTTCCAAGACATGGCACAGTAGGACTGATCACTGTAACTGATCCGGATTATGGAGAAAATTCTGCAGTCACTCTCTCCATTTTAAATGTGAATGATGACTTCACCATTGATCCACAGTCTGGTGTTATCCAACCAAATATTTCATTTGACAGAGAAAAACAAGAATCTTATACTTTCTATGTAAAGGCTGAGGATGGTGGTAAGGTATCACAGTCTTCAACTGCCAAAGTGACCATAAATGTGGTTGATGTCAATGACAACAAACCAGTTTTCATTGTCCCTTCTTCCAATAACTCCTATGAATTGGTTCTACCATCCACTAATCCAGGCACAGTGGTCTTCACAGTACTTGCTGTTGACAATGATACTGGCATGAATGCAGAGCTTCGTTACAGCATTGTAGGAGGAAACACAAGAAGTTTGTTTATAATTGACCAAACAACAGGCAACATCACACTAACAGAGAAATGTGTTGTTACAGACCTTGGTTTACACAGATTGATAGTTAAAGCTAAGGACTTAGGACAACCTGAATCTCTCTTCAATGTTGTTATTGTTAATCTATTTGTGAATGAATCAGTGACCAATGCTACATGGATTCATGAACTGGTGCACGAAAACAATGAAACACCAGTGACCCCAAATATTGAGACAACTGATGCATCCTCACCCACCAGTGACTATGTCAAGATCATGGTTGCTATTATTGCTGGCACCATAACTGTCATCCTTGTTATTTTCATTACTGCTGTAGCAAGATGCCATCAATTGCCACACATTAAGGCTGCTCAGAAAAACAAGCAGAATTCTGAATGGGTTACTCCAAACCCAGAAAACAGGCAGATGATAATGATGATGATGAAGAAGAAGAAGAAGAAAAAGAAGAAGAAAAAGAAGAAGCATGCCCCTAAGAACTTGCTGCTTAACTTTGTCACTATTGAAGAAACTAAAGCAGATGATGCTGACAGTGATGGAAACAGCGTCACACTAGACCTTCCCATTGAGCTGGAAGAAAAAAAGATCGGCAAGTACAACTGGGGCACTATACCTACTACCTTCAAGCCTGACAGCCCTGATTTGGCCAGGCACTACAAATCTGCCTCTCCACAGCCTGCCTTCCATATCCAGCCTGAAACTCCCCTGAATTCAAAGCACCAAATCATCCAGGAACTGCCACTTGATAACACCTTTGTGGCCTGTGATTCCATCTCTAAGTGTTCTTCCAGCAGTTCTGATCCTTGCAATGTTTCTGAGTGCAGCTATTCAGTGACAACTTTCAAAACTCCTGTGTCTGTACACACTAGACTGGTAGGTAATCCAAGTTCTAAATAATCTTTTTAACTTTATTTTACTTTTTAAAATTATTTTCAGTTGAAGTAGAACTTTATAGAATCTATTGTATTGACTCCAACAATCAAAATGATTATATTCTGCAGCAGTATCAAAATAAATATACGGTTTCATTTTAAGTTTGGTAGAAAATCATGGTAAAATTACTCTTGATGGTAGGAAAATTTGGTGCCGGATGATGACTATAACAGGGGAAGTGTTGTCTGCAGATAGAAGTATGACACAACTTGCTAGAGAATATACTTGAAAGACCTTAGAATAAAGGTCCTGGCTCTGTCTTCAGTATCATTATGTGCATGAGGATCAAAACAGTCAGGGCTAGATACATCACAGTAAAGCTTTTTAGAATCTGGTAAGAAGGTCTGGGTGTTTAATGGAGTTGAGAATCCCAGCTTCACTTGGGAAAAACTGTGTCTGCTCAGGAAAATAAAATAGCATCAATATATCCTCCTTACCCATATGCTCCCAAACTGCCACAATGAAAAGAGAATGTTACTTTTAGATTAGGAACCCACCTTTATTCTGTTTCATAAAATCTTTATTTACACAATGTAACAAGAATAGGATTAGAAAAATAAAGACATGCTGTTCATTCTTATATTCAAGCCAAAACATGAAATATATATGAGATCTCTATTTTGGACATCCACTTAAGTATTTGCATATTTGTGCAAGGTATTGAAGGCCCTCCAGGAGACATTCTTAAAAGATAATGACTTTTGGATAAGGAAATATGTTTGCTTTCTTTAATGGGCCTGAAGAAAGTATGGGCATATTAAGACCCAAGAAATCTATGTATAATAATTTAAAACCCAATAAACTTATGAAAACAAGAGCTTATACAGTGATTTCTCTCTGTATTCTGTGGAGAAATGATTACAAATTTATCTAGAAATGCATAAGTAAATTAAATGATTTAAGTATGGTTACTTCTTTAATAAAGTCAAGAAATAGAATTTATCTACATCTTTTCTCTTGAAATTATGTCACATGTTGATTTTATTGTTTTGTCTGTGTTATGTTTAAAAAAGATCTTCATCTCAGTTTCAGTGAATAAAGTCTTTTGAAAACCTATTCAGGCTTAATAAAATGGTTGTAATGTTGAAGTCAAACTGGGTATCTTCTCACCAAAATTAGAAATACTAAAGAAATCTATCAGAATTCAAAATAACAATGAAGATAATAATTTACCATAATTTAGGAAGTGGTTTTAAGAATCAAGGTCATTCAAGAATATGCATATTTAAATTATACAATAACATTATCCATTCTTAATCACACAGTGACAGTAAGATATCACTCCAGTTGTGGGTGCATTTTTGTTATAATAAGTCCATAATTATGCTATTGCAGACAGTAAAATAGAACCCTATTCTTTGTATACGGAGTTCTGTTATGCTTTGAATGAGTTTACAAGGTACAAGGTGTGAGATGCCTAACATCTCCTCAAGGTTTGTTTTTGTTTATATGTAATCATTTATAAAGGTGCTATCATTTTCTAATTTTACTGCTATTATTTTATTTATTATAAACATTTCTCAACAGGAAATTATTTTTTATGAACAACAATTTCTGTGTGTTGTCTATCTTTTGTGTGTGTGTGTGTGTGGGGGGGTGTGTTGTGTATCTTAATAACACTTTCCCCTGGACTAAATTTGTGGCTCACTTAAAAATGTATACAAAGGGGGGGTGGTTTATGAATTACATTAGCAGATTATCATTTGTGCTAGGTTGGCTCATGAAGTTTGTTAAAAGAGTAAATTCTGGTTTCAACAGTTTTTGAAGGCATGGAGATGTTTTATGGGTTAGATTTATTATACTTGAGAATATAAATGTACAGTAAGCAAGGCATAAATGAAGAAAATATTGAAATATTTTCCAAATATCTTCCTCTTTTTATTTGTATTTTTTGATATTTTGTAATTCTTAAGAAGTCAAATAAATTAACAACTTTTTCCACAATGACATTTTCTTTTATTTAGCTAAGAGATCTTTTCCTAAACGCAGGACAAATAACTTCATGAGATAGGCAAAATATGAAAAGTAAGTATTAATTAGAATAAGTTCTTGGTTATCACTAGGTTTTTATTAGCTAAAAGGACCATCCTACAATCAATTTTCAGATGACTTATTTTATTTTTTCACATCTTAAAAAAATAGATAAATTATATATTTTCTGTCATTGGTTCACATTACTAAATTACTAAATATCTGCTGGACATGAATTGATGAAATTAGGCAAATTAATATAATATTAGAAATAATTTGATTCTTATATTTTGTGCTACATTTGCAATATTCTTTAACCTTTCTATATATTCTTCAATTTCTGATTAATGCCAGGAGAGGCATCTTATATTTACTGATGTTGTAGAACACTAAGATAAGTGAGAACTGAAGAAGAATATATGTATTTAAAACTTTCAATATAGTATGTGTGTTCTTTTTAAAGAAACATCACACAAAATGGGGAAAAGTGTCAACCAACACAACAAAAATTCATTGTTCCTTAAGGAAATTGTGACAATGAAATAAAATATTATTGTTAGCAGAGGGCAAAACTGTACCAATTGATTTTAAACAAAGTATAAAATACATTTTCAAAAGGAGACTTTGGGATGATATTTACATTTAGCTCATTATTCACCTAAATAGAAAATGAAAGTAAAGAAATGAAATGGTTATAGTAGGCTGTAATATATAAGAAAATTTATCGGAAATTTCATGTTTTCAACAGGGAATCAAATATTTTCTATAATTATTTTGACTCAGATGTTCTGAAAAATGATAGAATATTCATTAGAAATATATCTGTTTGGGGGCACCTGGGCGGCTCAGTTGTTAATCATCTGCCTTCAGCTCAGGTCATGATCCCAGGGTCCTGGGATCGAGCCCCACATCAGGCTCCCTGCTCCAAGGGAGCTCCCACTCCCCCTGCTTGTGTTCCTGTTCTCACTATCTCTCTCTCTGTCAAATAAATAAATAAAATCGTTAAAAAAATTAAATTTAGAGTCAGTCAACCAGCAACCACTATTTTGTACAATATTTACTAATATATTTGTTTCAACACAAAATAATACTGCCTCATTTTAATATTTAATATTTAAATTTAATATTTAATATTTAATATTTTATTGCCTGCACTCATCACTGTTCAATTACATGGTGTAATTTTGTATCTACATAGGCATGATATGAAGACTGATCTCAAAAGAAATGATACAGGAAAAGCAGATCTTAAGAAACCTTACATGAAATTAATCCACACCCTGTAAATGCTTCCTATATGTGCTCTTATGTAATAGACAAGTTGTTTTAGATTTTTTTTGTAGCTTAGTTTTTGTCTACTTTAAATATTATATAGATTTAACTATTTAGCATATTCAAAGCTGCTGTGATAATATAAAGCTTTGTGTGTTGTATATAATTACTAATTTTTTATTTTTTTATTATGTTATGTTAATCACCATACATTACATCATTAGTTTTTGATGTAGTGTTCCATGATTCATTGTTTGTATATAACACCCAGTGCTCCTCCATGCAGAACGTGCCTTTTTAAAGAGAACTATTGAGCAATTATTTCTTCATGTATTATGTTTGTTCCTACATTATTTCTGGGGTTTTATGTGGTATTTGAAATAGACATAAAATTCTAGGTTAGTCATAAACTTTTATTTTTATTGCACATGCAATATACCTTCATTGTAAAAAAATTAAAGAAAATTGTAGATGTATTTATGTGAAGAATTATTTAATTGTTTTTATTTGAAGCTATATTAGTAAGTTTTTCTTTACAACTTAGTAATTTTGTTAAAGTTTCTATAACTTTTGGAAGTGCACTTTAAAATTACAAAATTATTTTCTTCTTTTTATTTTATAAACTATACATGCAGGATTTTTTTTACATATAGTGGTAATTCACTGATTTATTACATATGTCATTTATTTCTATAGATGAATTATTGAACAAATTGATGTAATAGTATAGTTTGATTAGTTAATAGTGTAATACAGAGGCATACTATATATTACCACCACAAGACTAACCTTCACTCACTGAAAATACCAAGTTTGATGAAAAAAAAATTTTTTTAAGATTTATTTATTTTAGATAGAGAGAGAGCACAGGGGAGAGGAGCAGAGAGAGAGGGAGAGAGAGTCGGAAGCCGACTCCATGCTGAGAGTGGAGCCCAATGCAGGGCTTGATCTCATGAGCCCTGAGGTCACAACCTGAGCTGAAATCAAGAGTCAGACAATTAACCAACTGTGCCACCTAGGTCCCCCCCGCCAAAAAAAAAACGTTTAAAATTAAAAAGAATGCCATCTAAATTTCTTCTTCTTCTTCTTTTTTTTCCATCTAAATTTCTGCCAAAAGTTCCCTTAGAACAACCAAGTTAGGGGCGCCTGGGTGGCTCAGTGTTAAGTGTCTGCCTTCGGCTCAGGTCATGATCCCAGGGTCCTGGAATCAAGTCCCGCATTGGGCTCCCTGCTCAGCAGGAAGCCTACTTCTTCTTCTCCCACTCCTCCTGCTTGTGTTCCCTCTCTCACTGTCTTCTCTTTCTGTCAAATAAATAAAAAATCTTAAAAAAAAAGAACAACCAAGTTATTTAATCATTACTAGGAATTATAATCAACTTTTACCCTTTTCATATTCAAACTAATCTCAATCCAAATTTCTTTAAACTCTCTTTTTTAAGTGATTAAGTATATTGGATTATCCACATATACAGATACTATTCATGTAGGAGTAAAATTTTTTTGTCAAGTAAAAAAAAATCACATTGCATTAGGTTTCAGGTAGTTAAAATGATGTAATAGTGAAAAAGAAGTATTTCAATGGACATTCTAGAGACATTTGCACTTTCCCCCCTGTTCTGGAGTATTAAATGTATTAATTATTTGTTTACATACTTCATAGAAATGCTATTCTTTTGACATACAGTTAATAAGAAGGA